TATAGTGCACAAATATCTAAGTGCCATATTGTATGCCATACAGCAAATTACTAGCATTTGACATCACAAAACAAAATGCTAAATGGTTCTTGGCTATGTATTTACTGTTATGGCTTTCTGTACAATGTGCAAATGGGAATAGTTACTAACTTTATTTATATCCTGCTTTTATTATTTTTATAAATAACTTAAGGCAGTGAATATACACAATACTTCTTCCTCCTCCTATTTTCCCCACCACAACAACCCTGTCAGGTGAATTGAGCTGAGAGTGATTGGCCGAAAGCTTTCATGCCTAAGGGAAGACAAACGGGGATTTGATCAAGAAGCTACATAAAATTTTCTTCCAGCAAGATTACTGTACTCTGTTTCACACTGTCAGTTGTGGTTTGTTTGTGGGTTATTCAATAAATCATGTTTGCTAGACTCATGCAATATGATGAGTTGTATTGGTTCTGTGTCTGAGTTCATGGAAAAATTGCCACTGAGTTGCTGTTCAACAAATCATTGTGTATATAAAATGGGACTTAGAGATAATGGGGAACCCAAGCGGAAGCAAAAAAAAAATCTTTTTGATGTTTATGTTTATTTTGTGAATTTCTAGTCAGAAGTGTAGCTGTTGAATTTAGTAGGGTTTACTCTCAAGTAAGCATTTTAGGATTGCAGCCTTAAATTTCCTAGATTATTGGGCCCAAAATGTCAAAGAAAATGGGTTTGGAAGGAAACAAGACAATGTATTCAGGGAGATAATTGCAGGCATAAGGAATAAGCATGGGGGGGAGAGGAAGGATGATTATTGATATTTGAAGGAACTGAAAACTTTGTATGACTGCCAATGATAGAACTGGATATATGCAAAGATACATTTTGGATAGAGAAAAATAAGAGGCAGGATTTGTGTCACAAGTACATAAAGGTAAGAAGTTTATCCTAGATTGATATTATCCACACATTGGCAACTTCTATGTTTGAAACTGGCAAGTTTCCTGTTGTAGATTTAATTCCTTTTTCCCTTTCTGCCCATTGCCAGTATGCAATGAATCTGAAGCCTGACTAGAATGCAAAGATGAGCTGGGTTAATGTGGCAGAGGAGTTGAATTGTGAACCAGAAACTAAACTCTGAGAAACAATCTTTTGAAAAGAAACCCTGTCCATTTTGGATTAAGACATCTAATAGCATTCCAAGTATGGCAGAGATAAAGAAATCATAAAACTGTTTCTACATTTTAGAATAAGGGAAAGAAATTGGGGAAGGAAAGGAAATCAGACCTAGAAACAAGCAGGTGGCACAAAGAAAACATTCACAAAATAAAACAATGACAGTACAACCAGTAGAGCACTCAAATTACCTCTCTCTCTGCTGTTCTGCATTACAGTGCATAGGTTCTGTTATGATTCATTGGAAGGAGCCACTTAGGTCTGCCTCAGCATAAGATGGATCCAGATATATTTAATTCTCAGTGATTGGCAGTAGATTGCTTACAGCTAATGTTATGATAATTGCATTTCCCAAATTATGTGATTGCAGGAAGAAAGCTTGGAAGAACCATGAGTGGATTTGAGGGTAGAAAAACTGTTAAGTTCTAGTACTCAAAATACATTTTTGGTGCTTAAATTCTTTGAGATCTGACACTTTTTATCTTAGGTATATGCATTTTACAACAGGTAATGCTTGATGAATTTGTGGATTTTAGTAAAAAGCAAATCAAATCATGCATGCCTCAAGTGTGCCCAGCCCTGGTTTGGGTAATGATATATAATCAGAAATTCAAACAGACAAGTTTAGTGCCAATGTAAGATAGGAAACTAGGATCAGGAGGGAATCAGAAAAAAATAATCCAGGATGGATATTAATGCATTAATTGACATAAAAGTAAAAAAAATAGCCCTCAAACTTTTCTACTACATTAGAAATTGAAAAGAACTTGATAGATAGTGGTATAATGTAGGCTGGAAATTAGTATTCTTTAAAGGATAACTGACAACCACAATATTTTTAAAGCAACAGAGAAGAAAAGATATGGTAGAATATAGGAATAAAGTAACAACAACAAAAATAATAATAGAGTTGGAAGGGACTTTGGAGGTCTTCTAGTCCAACCCCCTGCTCAGGCAGGAATCCCTATACCATTTCAGACAAATGGTTGTCCAGTCTCTTCTTAAATGCTTCCTATGTTGGAGCATTCACAACTTCTGGAGGCAGGTTGTTCCACTGATTAATTGTTTTAACTGTCAAGACATTTCTTAGTTCTAGGTTGCTTCTCTCTTTGATCAGTTTGATTAGTTTCCATCCATTGCTTCTTATCCTGCCTTCAGGTGCTTTGGAGAATAGCTTCACTCCCTCTTTGTGGCAACCCCTGAGATATTGGAAGTTATGAAATAACATTTAATTTTTTAATTAATAGAATATTTAATATTATCAAAGAATGACACAGATTAGTGTAAGGGCTGAAGCCGATGAGTAAAACAGGAATTCTCAGGCTTGTCAGAATTGTTGAATAAACATTGAACAGATGTTTGCCAATCTCAAGGCTGGGAAGAGAACAGCCCAATATCCTTTCATTCAAAAATTGGGAGGAAAAAATTATGATTTAAATTTTGAAACAAACATATATTGTATTTAATGCCCAATCCTTCTGCATTAAGCAGATCTTTTGTTTATACATGATTTCTCTTGTCTACAATAAAACAATTATATAAAACTGTAGTGTGCTGGTGAGCAGAAGCAAATTCCCGATTATGGATTTAATGTCTGGCAAGTCAAATTTTATTGCCATGCCTGACAAGAAGTTTGACAATCATAATACAAGAAACATTAGAATATATAGATTGGGGAACTTTTGCTTCCCTTATAAATCAGCATTTTATGATTTCCCAAGATACATAAACTGGAAGACTATCTCCAAAATGGCTTTTTATCTTAATGCTACTTTGATATTTGAATCATTAGCATTAGATTGTACTCTACTGTTTTAGTGAAGAGCATCATTGCTTATGTAAAAGATTTAACACCCTCACACCCCACACCCCCCGATTTTAGCACAGTAGAACATGGCTGATGAATATAAAATAAAACAGGTTTGGAGAAAGAAGACAGGGAAGAGCTTTTCTCTTACTCTCAAAACATTGGGACCATCCAGTGAGGCTGGTAGGAAATTTAAAACAGAGAAAAGGAAGTAATTTTTCATACAGTGTGTAATTTACCTGTGGAATTCATTGTATGGCGTGATTGTTACCAATCTGAATAGTTTTGAAAGGGTTTGGAGTTGTTCTCACAATGCTTAGCCACATGCAAATGGTCAGCCATTTGTTGCATATCTGAGCTTTTGTGTCATCGGTGCGATGTCTGCTGCACTTTGTCATCTCTCCCAGATAAATCAGACAGGAAACATGATCAAAGTGGATGAATTAATTCTACTTTTTTGTAAGGCCATGTTAACAAAATTTTGCAAGCCTAAAACTACAAACTTCATGTTGCCACTTTCAACTACTTCATCCATTAGGATGGGTCCTTCCTAAGTTTCTTTCTCTGATTGTTCAGCCAACTGAGGGCTCCTGTCTTTCTTGTCTGATTATTTCTTAAGTAGCATCTCTTCCCTTCGTTCCCCAAGATCATCCACACATTTCGTAACAACCTAAGCCAACAGTTTACTACTTTAGTTGACTTCAAAGTGGTGCCATTTCTTGTAATTTGTCTAAACCCAACAACACATCAAGTGATAAACACCTTACTTTTCTGTAAGTTAGTTTGGGTGTATAATACAGTTGAACTTTTTTTAAAAAAAATCTATTTGATATTTATGGATTTTCACCAGGGTTGTGTTCTAGCTCCCATTTTGTTTAATGTGTATATTAATTCCCTCATCAAAATCTATAGCTATTTTGGCTCCCTAACTGGGGAATCGACATCTCCAATCTTTATGTAGATGATGCTGTCATTCTAAACATATACTGGTCATAAAAGAACTATCATTGCTTTGGTCCAGCTTTACCCTAAAAAGCATTTGATGGTTAATTATTAAAAAAACTCCAAAATGTTAGTCAGTCATTAATGATTACCAGACAGAACATGTTCAATATTTATATATCTCGGGTTTAATTCCAGTCAAATGCTAGATGAGGCTTTGATGCTGGTTATGTTATTGATTTGGCTCAAAGAACTACCACAGCAATTTTACAGTATTATTATTATTGATAAGGAAATAGATATTTATCTGGAACTATTAAACTTTGTAGACAAAGGCTTAGTACAATAACTATTTGGGGCAACTGTCAGTCCATAATCTAATTTTCTAGCCTACTGAGATCACTTCAATCTAGATTTCTCAGGTTTATTTTTGGTACGCCCAAATGTGGTTCAGATGTGGCTCAGGCTAGAAACAAGGCTGATTAGAATAGAAACAAAGTTTAGGAATATTTAATTAGTGGCTTAAATTTATTTATTTATTAGCCTATTTGGGCTTTTTTATTGTGTTTTAAATCTACTTTAAGAAGTCTCTTAAGCAAAGACCAAATATTGCAGTGTTCATGGTTCACTGTCTCTGCCCAGGTTGCACACAAAAAGTAGGTACAATCAATTACTCATCTGCTTTTACATTGTAAGTTTGATACAACTTTGAGCTAAAATTATTTTTTCCCATTTTAGGAGCAAATCAGTTTATGCACAGATCTAGCTTCTTCAGCCCCAGATGGCAGGAATGTCAAAGGGCAGATCCAACTGTGTGATGTTATGAAAATGTTATGAAACTTCTAGCAGGTTAATAGGAATAAAATAATATCTAAAAAATTCTTGTCCTTTTTGAAGAACTGAGCCATGATGTTTAAAAGTGACTGAAAGGTTTTCTTCAAGAAAGAGATTCTCAGATAAAAATCTGATTCAGAACACAACTCCTTATTTGTCCATTTCTTCAGTGCAATAGAAGAAATGGACATCTTAATTTCATTAAACAGTGTTTTGATTGTCCTGTTTTTATGATTCAGGAAAGCTGCGCTAAATTTGAGAATGTCTTCAGTGAAACACCTTGTTTATGCTATCATCCATTTCCTGAGAGAACAGAGTCAGATGGATACTTTCACATCCGATGAACAAGAAAGCTTGGAAGGTGTGTGGAGATGGGGCAAGTTGGTATTTAAATGAAATATTGCTGTTAAGAAATGAATGCTTTATCTATTGTATTTCATAAATGTATTTAAAACTGAAGATCTTTAGAGTCCCTTAGAAATTTACCTCAGTCATTCTTAAAAAAAAGTAGAAGGGAGAATTAGAAAGATTGTTCAACACAGTCAGTTTTCTCTTTCAGTGCATAGTCATAGACATAGAGGAATGTTTGGTATTCCAGAATGTGCACCCAGTTCACATGGAGAATTATGATGGCAGGCAAGAATTCACAAACCTAGAGTAAATTTCATATGTAGGCTTTATTTAGTAACTGATAATGTTTAGCTTTCTGTTTAATAAAGGGAAAGATACATTATTTTCTGCTGTATGTTAGACCAATCCTAATATGATTGCCCTTTGAATGCATCTTGATAGTAAGTTCCAGAATTAACCACAAGTATGAAGATACCTTGTGATGATAAAAGGTTTATCTATTAGTTGCTTTTTTAATTCCTTGTATTTTCCATGTCCCAAGGAATTATAATAATTACATAGAAACATCCATGTAGTTTTCTTGATGGTAATAATGAAATATTTTGCCTTTATCTTCTTCAGAGCCTTTCCCCCCCCCCCACTTCCCAGACTATTTATTTATTTATAAAATTTACTGGCTGCCCATCTTACCACAGAGTAACTAGTCTGTAGTCCTACAATGCTGCAGTGAGTATCTTCTCAACCCTGCTTATTTTTTGAGACCAGCTAGATGCTACCATCTCCTTCTTAGCAGAGATTGCAAGATTATTATAGCATCCATTTTAATGAAACTATGCTCATTTAATTATAAAACAATTTTAATCATTAAGAGTTTTTTTCTGTCAAGTTCAACTCCTGGTGAATATATGGACAGCATGATCATGATGCTGCTAGCTGTAGGCTAACAATTGTGCTGATTTGTTAAATATATTTTTCCTACCATATGTTAAGTTATTCTTGCCGGCCAGGCTGTAGGTATTTGGGAATGTAGGCATATGATTGAGATTGTGAAGCTTATGTCTGAACAAATTTTGTTTACTGTTAAGTCTAGATAATTGAATCTAATTTTAGAATATTCAAATGAAATTACATTTAGAGGTATTGTTGGTTGAAATAATGAGTGTACTTTGAAATCTTTGAGATTTTCTATACATCAATAAAATATTGATACTTTTTAAGAAAAATATTTAATTAGGAAAGTATTTTGATATATTCTTAAAATAATTTTAAAAGGTATTATAAAACACTTGCTTCAAATCAAATGGTAAAAACATTTCACTCTTTAGTGATTAAGAGAAGTAAAATTCTAAGCTATCATCATAACTTAGAGATTTACTGAATATCTTACAGAAGTCATGCAACCTCACTTTTTATTTAATTTTTATTTGTAAACATAACTCCAATGTAGTAATTGAAACTATTGTAGTTTCCTGCAATATTTCCCAAAATCAGTTTATACTAAAGCTACTATAAGCTGGATTTACATATGCTAAGCCACATTGTGGCTTAGGTTTAGCATAAAGTATGAGCCCAGCTAAATATAGCTTATTCTGTAAAACTGTAGCTAAACCTATGGCTTAGTGAAATGTGGAAATCCAGTGTTAATCCAAGGGAAATCAATTCTCTTACTCAGGAGAAAGTGTCATTAAAATTATGGAATTTCTGTATAAATAAGCATAAAGCTTCTTTACACTACCTTCCTTCCTTCCCTCCTTCTGCTTCTCTTCTGATGACTTTCCCATTTAATTTATTTAGGAGAGAACAAACACTTTAGTAGCAATTTACTAGATGAGTAGAATATGTTAACTAGACAGATAGGAATTAATTCCCTAGGAATACTCCACAGAAATGAGGTAGGAAAGAGATAAACAGATCTGCCAAATAGATCACTATCAAGGAGAACATGGGGAATATAGTATAGCAGTGAAATTTTTGAGATCTAGTAGGGGAAAAGAGTGTACTTTAGGTAGAAGAGGAAGAATTGGTGACCATTTAAGAAGACATGGTACAACAGGGAGTAAATAATCTACTTGGCAACATAGATTAGGATGGATTACTGAAACTTCCTTTTGGATTTTTTTTTACATCTTTTATGAATATATATGAAAATTTAGAGTTGCCTAATGCAGATTTTAAAACATAACAATTCCTAGTGTTTGCAGTGAGTTTGGAGCAGCATTATAAATGGAGACTATGAATGTGGATGAGTGTTATCTTGCCATCAGATAACAATTACGGTATAAAATTTACATTGTCTGTACATAATGATAAACATCACATTATTTTTAAAAATAATTTATTTCTCTCTAGTGGCAATTCAGTGTTTGGAGACAGTCTTCAAAATTAATCTAGAGGATACCCGTCTTGCAGTACCTTCACGTTTGATAGAAATATTTGCAGATTCCTGTCATAAGGTACAAATTAATTCATTTTTGTATTATTTAATAGAGTACACTTTTATATAGATAATTCTGAGTCCAGTTTGCTACCAAATAATTGTAAGAATGCCTTTCTTATAGGTGATACCTTATTTATAAAATGTTATGATAGTTTTGTTAGCTTGGGCCAAAGATTTTTACTCAGCTTACAGATTTTATCTTCATCCCTTTTTTTGCAACTTCTGATAGGTTTTGATTTCATATAGATCAAGAACTATTATTGACAGATTATTGATAGACTATTATTGACAATATATCACAATTTAAAAATATGGTTTAAAATGTATTTGAGAGCCTGATTTGTTCAAATAATAATTGTACATTTGTAAGTAGAATAGCTTAATTAGAAACGTACATTTTATGTAGATATGCCAATCAGAAAATAAATGTTTATAATTTAGTTTTGTATACCTTGATACAAACTTTCTGAGATAGTTACACACTGCTGATTAATATTTAAACTAGCTTTAATTTGCGTATTTCCTGCATTCAGTTCTTAATATATATATATTTCCTGCATTCAGATCTTAATATATATAAAGAGAATGAGAAATGTTTCAAAAGAAGGCAATCAGATCCATTTCTTTTACATACAGAAGTAAGAAATGGACACTGAGCTGACTGAATATGGTGAAATCCTGCATAGATTGGTGCATTGCTTATCCTAGTGCTTGTGTTCAAAATTAATATAGTAAATGGAACTCAAGAATGAAAGAGCAGATTTGAGTACTCCCAGATTACTATTTTGGATAGTGTCTCTGCTCTGACATACTGTGCACTAAAAGAAAATTACTTTACAGCATTGATTTCTTCCTGATATTACATTACTGATATTTATTGCAAAATAGGCCCCTCGTGGCTTGTTTAAGATCAGTGATATAAATGACCCTAAATAAAGGGATATAGAAAATAATATTTCTCTTTCTCTAACATACCCATAGAATGAGATTCTGCCTCTCTCAGATTCTTTGCCAGAGGACCTTGAAAAAGCTGATCAGCTCAAGGATGAAGGTAGGAAACTGAAAAGGAATTGAAAAAAAGAATCCTTTCTGCCATTGATAATGTAGTTTATTTGTTGGTCATGATGAGAGATAAGCGCATGAATGAATTACAAATGCTCAGACTATTAGTGTTTAATAGATCTTGTATGGGATGAACAGCTGTTTAAAGTATAATGTTTCCTGGCTGCTGTGGAAGAATAAAAAAACACAAGAACATAAAATGTACAGCAAATCAGTCTAAATGCTAATTTGGACTTAGGACTGGAAAGTTATATTGGATTTAAATCACATATCACATTAGCATAGTATGGCTTCCTTAATTTTGGTCTAATGTATAGGCTAATATAAGACTTTGTGGTCTGCAGCCTATTGTTTATAGCATGTTGTATTAACCTAAAATTCTTTACAGTTTCTTGTTTCATGAATCAGGCCTTTGTTTGCATCTCCTATCATTGTCAGCTTCATTTTGGTAACATCATTTGTTTCTTTTCAGATCATAATATACTGTATATTCAGTGTGACTCTCATACAAAAGAATACGATCTCATAAGTGGTTTATTAAAATGCAAGCAGTAGCTATTTTTTTTTGCTACTCCAATTAGCAACTCCCTGCTCAAATTAAAGCATTTCTGACAGATGGCTATCCATCTTCTGGCTCGGTGCTTCATTCAAAGACAGTCCATTTATGAGATTATTGGTAATTGGTTCCACTGTTAAACTATTCTTTATAGTTCTATAAATATAACTTAAATCTGTTATTGTTCTATGGGTTAAATCTATTATTTTTTGGCCTGTGTTCTAAGGTAATTATTATTACCAACTTAAGTTAAAGGATATCCAAAATTGCCATCATTCATGACATGGCATCTGGACACAAATCTTTTGATTTCAGCTATGATACTCAAGCTGTTGAACTGTAATGGATCACTAATTTGAGCCAGTTTTTCAAGGAATGTGCCACCTTGTGTCAAACAAAATTACAGGAGAGATGTATTAATAGTCCCAGTTTGTATAACATTGCTCAAAACAATTTTTTTCCAAAAAATATTTTTGAAGGGTAACCAAGTTGTTTTTTATGGGGTTTATTTTACAGCACTCCTAAGGCTATTGTTCAAAACAGCATTTCATCATTTCAATTATTCATGACCATTTTATTATGATGATTTATTTTAGGTAATAATCACATGAAAGAAGACAATTATGCAGCTGCTGTGGATTGTTACACCAGAGCTATAGAATTAGATCCAAATAATGCGGTCTATTACTGCAACAGGTGAAGTTCATATAAAGCATGTGAATATTTATTTCTGAATTATATTTATACTTCTCTCGGTCTATATTACCACTCTTCGGCAGAATGCTACGCCAAACTTTTGTTTTTGTTTTGATCATTACATTTCTAGAATTTCACTGCTGTATTTATTGTCCTTCCTTAATTAGGCTCAGTCATTAACCATCTTCTTATTTGAAATTTAAGGCCCAGTAGAGATCAATGGAACTTCTTTTGAAAAAACTTTAGTAGAGTTAGATGGGCAAATCTTAGTTTAGTATTAGGAATGTGTAGCTCTTCAGTTCTGAAGGACAAATGCTTTGGAAGGCATGTGTGCATTCTTTAAGAAGCTGTTTCTTTTCCTGTCCTTGCATAGTAAGTACAGGATTCCAAGAAAAGATATGTTTGAGTTAAGGAGATATTGAAGAGTTAGCAACATGATGCAACAATAATATTGTTATTGCTATTTGAGGAGCCGATTCTCTTGCATGGTTTCTGTCTGTCTGGTAAGATCAGGCAGAGGTGACTGTTTCAGGTTGTATCCATTTAAATCAATGTTTCTCAGCTTCAGCAATTTTAAGATGCGTAGACTTCACCTTCCAGAATTCTGCAACCACTATGCTGGCTGAGGAATTCTAGACTTCCACATGTTAAAATTATTGAATTTGAGAAACACTGCGTTCAACCATACCATCTGTCAGGACCTAGGAATTGTGCCTTCTCTGACACAGCTCCTGCCCTCTGGGAATAGCCTACTGATGTTGTTGTAGAAGTCTTTAAAAACCTGGTTCTTCTCCCAGGCCTGGGGTAGGGGTGGCTTTTAACTCCTGTCAGGTGTGTTTTTATAATATATGGAGGTTGTCTTGTCTGGATACAGACTTTCCTCTGTTTATGTTTATTTGTTTATGTTTCCACAGAATAAATTTTCCGGAGTCACTCTGAAGTCATGTGGCATTTATATTAATAAGCAAATTCTAAAGTAGTGTTTCTTACAGTGTGGTTTGAGGACCCCTGGGACCCCTCAGAGGTCCAAAACTCAAAATTATTTGCTAGACATAGAAGATACTTGCACAAATTTAAAACAAGATCACTCTTCTCATTATTAATTTTATTTAGTTAAAAATATAGGGTTTTTCATGAAAAATATTTTTGTTAATATATAATGGGTATAATATTGTTATTTTGATATGAATCAATACATATTTTATAAATGCATCAGATTTAATTTTTAATATAAATATTAATATATATATATATATAAGCCTTACCAAAAAAAGGGCTCTTTTGGGGTCCTCCATAATTTTTAAAAGTGGGAAGGGCCCCAGAGCAAAAAGTGTAGGAAACACTGCTCTGAAAGTATTCTTAATATTTGTTATAAGAATGTGTTTTTTGACAAAACATAGAAAGTGACTTTGGTAGAGCTTTTTCCTCAATATTCTTTTTATTCAAAAAACATGAAATTGGTGGGTGGAAAAACAATCTACAGCTTTTTTTTTTCAAAGCGAGACAATATGATAAGTGTATTAATGGTTGATGGTCAGATGGAGATCAGTTTGTTGACTTTTATATTTTTTGAGCTTTGCTCTTTTTTCACACCGTAGAGCTGCTGCTCAAAGTAAACTGAACAATCACAGTGAGGCAATAAAAGACTGTGAGAGAGCAATTGCAATAGATCCAAAATACAGCAAAGCATATGGAAGAATGGGGTAAGCAAATTAACGTTATATCTTGCATTTCTGGACCACTCATCTCCTTCAAAGAGGGACTTGTTCTGTCGTTTGTTATATTTGCTATGATTTCATTCTTTGACACTCTTTCATTTCTTTCCCCCTCCATATTCTTCTTTCTCTTGTTCTTTCTTTCCCTTACCTCCCTTGTTCTCTATTGTTCTCCACACTTTTTAATCTCTGTGGTATTCTTCTTCCTCTTTATCTCCTTTTCTATTTTCTCACAAAAGGAGGAATATGAACCTCATCCTAGTAGTCTGAACCATGTTCTCTAAAATGGAAAAGCTCTAAATATATAAAATATTTGCCAACACCTCAAATTACTAAATCTTTTTACCTGACTACCAAGAAACTAAAAGATTAATTTGAATTCATTAATCTGAATAACAATAATTTAATCAAGTTAATTAATAAATTAATACCCCCAAAATGAAAGGACTGTCTGGGTTACTGCATGACTTCATTCTGAAGTCATTATTTTAATTCAATTCAAAACCAAATAAATTAATTTTATGGTTCTACCTCTTGTATTAATGAGACTTGTGGTGTCTCAGACAATTTCATGTATGTTAATCAATGCATTTTTAAAACATTTTTTAATTTTCTATTCTCCTATCTTATAACTGAAAAATCAACAAAAACCAAATCAAGAAAGTTTTTCTCTATACAAAAGACTTCCTTCCTTCCTTCCTTTCCTTCCTTCCTTCCTTTCCTTCTTTCCTCCCTCCCTCCCTCCCTCCCTTCCTAGTTAAAGGCCCATTGAGAACTTTAAGAATGTAGGGTATTTTTAAACCGTGATAATATTTGGTGATTTATATAACATGGTTTCAAAAATATAGGAAGTACTTTAATCAATGGCCTGCTTTCATTTGACTCATTACATTGACCCTCATTATTTTCAAGATAAGCAAGATTTGAGCTTCTTAAAAGTAACGTTTGATCTTACTGTGGGAAATGATCTTTGGTTCTAGAACCTGATGATGATGATTATTATTTTTTTAATAAAATTTTTATTGATTTTTATAATTAAACAATAAGTAACAATATGATGCATTTGTATACACAAACAGAAAAAACAATCCAAGTCAATACATTGTCGGAAACGCTCGGCAGTCCCTGCCTTGCCTCCGCCCTCATCCACTTTCCTATCCTTCCTCCCTCTAACCCACAACCTCTCCTCCTTCCTCCTTACCACCTACCTACGTCCCCTCTCTTTCTAACCACCTCCTCGAGTGCAATTTGGGATACCAGCCGAGCATCTCCTCTTATCAATACAATTATTATTTACCTATAACATGTAAATACATCAATTTTTATAATTCCCCTAATCCCCTTCCCCCCCTGGGCTTCCTGGAACCAGATACAGGATTAAAACACATCCCATTCCATATCTAAATTACAATTTAACTAAACAAACATAATACTATCAATATATACCTACTTTAACTCTAATAAAGCAATAAGTAAAAACAATATATCTACTCAGAAACTATATGATATTTATTCACTCCATACTTTCTCTAAATATAATCTATCCATCTTCAACATTTAAACTTTATATAAATTTTTTTTCTTTCATTTTACACTTAAATTTTTCCTTCACTTTCTTCCCTCTCAAGTGAACCCGATGATTATTTTGTGTAACAAATCTATAAGCTACCAGAAACTATCTTGCAAACAGAAAAATGCTATACTTTACATTCTTTTTCAAATACTGTTTACCATTTACTAAGTGAGAACTTAGTGTAGTATGCATATAACCATATGGTAAGCCGACTTCTCATGGTATCCTGTTACACAGAATTGAAATTATATACCACTCCCTATTTTCTAAATGTATGCAAATTGTAATAAAATTATCCTTGTATGTGGTGTGATACTATTAACTATACGTTTACTATATTATATCGTTACAAATTTATATATACATTTATATATAAACACTTTTAAAAGTGTTCCTTGTAACTTTCCGTAGTCAGACTTTGCATACAAAACTGTCAGATGCAAAGAATCAGAACCATTTGTGTAGGTTGCAGCATAAATGATTTATTTACTATATACAGCCTATAGCCTATATACAATAGCCTATACACAAGAATCTGGTCAACTAACGATCAGCACTAAATTGGCAGTAGATAAGTGGCAAAGGAAGTCAAGGAGGGGCTAGGCTTGGATCACTTGTGATAATGCAAGGACTCTAAACTGATGATGTGTTTTATTCCGCCCCTACCCCCAGCTCTGGCTGCTCTTCTCCTACAAAAACACCTCAGCATGGATGAGTAACAATTCTACAGGTAGTGGGGATAAGGGACAGAGGGAAGCTGGTATGAAACTGCAGTAAAGCATTACTACTAGACTCTGTAGATAAACTGAGCAATAAAGTAACAAATATAAATATTCGGTGAATGCTGTTTTAAAATAAAGCTATAGAGCCAGGAAAATATTAACCTTTTTATTACTTTGTGGCATACTTTTAATGGATTTGAGCCCATTCTTTTCTCTACAATTTAAACTGTATTTATATTGTTAAAGAATAGATTTTTAAAAATAGAAATATTTGTTCAGATTGTCCTCATGTTGGCTCCCTTTATTCATATTAGATTGGCTCTGACTTCAATGAATAAATATCAGGAGGCAATTAACAGTTACCAAAAGGCACTGGATCTTGATCCAGAAAATGATTCTTACAAATCAAATCTGAAAATAGCTGAACAGAAATCAAGAGACATGTCCAGTCCTGTAAGTTAGCTTTCAAACCATTTGTAATAATACATTGTTTAAATATTTTAGTTATCCAATGCTTCTTTACTTATAATTGACATGTATTTATTTTCAGACTGGAACTGGTCTGAGTTTTGATATGGCAAGTTTGATAAACAATCCTGCCTTCATTAGCATGGTAAGTGCACTTAAAAATTATTTCTGTTGTTCCTGGGTTCCACTGTTTCTCATATTGGCTAACTATTCCTTACTCATAATATTTTCATTGTTTATAAAGATGATGATGTTGATGATGTCATTGATTAAAATTAAATCCTGCCTTTCCCCTTATTCAAAACACCTTGTAACTGGAAAGCAAAATACAAAAACTCAACAATCAAACCAATACAATTAAAATCAATGGAGACATGCACTTTTCTTAACACCAGGACAATTAAAACTGCTTGAACAGTTAAAAGCCTGGTGAAAAAGAGTGTTTTTGATATTTTGTTAAAACCTGGGAGACTGAGGGTGGGGTAAGGATATACTCCCTGGAAAAGTATTTCATAGCTTGGTCCCACGCTAGAAAAGATTAGATAGCTGAGCTTCTGACAGTTGGGGCATCTTCAAAAAAGCCACATATTACTTATATAAGTAGCCAGACTCATAATAGGGCAGTATTGAGATACCATAGTCTATAGATGTTAAGATTAATTAAATACCAAGAAAATTTGACTTTGAAAGTGCACCATTACTCACAGTACTACTAGCCAATGAAACTATCCTGCCTAATTTTGGCTTCATTGTGGATGAAATTATTTTATCTATTTCAGGCAGCAAGTTTAATGCAGAATCCTCAAGTCCAGCAACTGTAAGTATCAACACAGGCCACCTGTGTTGTCATAGAGGTGACAAAGCAAGCATAACATAAAGGATTAGGGTGAGCACACATCACTTTCAGGAAACACACTTAGTGCTGAAATCTCACTGAACAATTTTCTTTCTAGTAATAATTTTTCCATTTGTTAGGGTAGGATGAAGAAGAGATTGTAGCTCTGATTTTGAACTCAAGAAGAAAATCTGGCAGTGGAATCTGTTCTTTGATGGGTTCAAAGAAAATACATGAGTTTCTGAGATTCAAAACCTAATACAATGAGTACATGTGTGTTATGTGACATCGTTTATATTCCACCACACTTTTAGACTCTAGGTGACTCATAATACTAATAGAGTACAAAATATGAAGTTTGTAAGTAGTGTTGAGAGGTAGCTTTGAGCAGTATGTGATAAAGAGAGCATTAGTGACTATTGAGTAGAATATGCTGGTCCAAAAATTGTCACTCTGGTGCAGGGGTGTCAAACTGCTGGCCCGTGGGCCAGTTGCATCATATGGAGGCCGCGCCCACCCCAGATCTGGCAATGCAAAAAAGGTTGTGATACGTCATGACACGTCACGTGACGTGGTGAGTTTGACACCTGTGCTCTGGTGCATCAACTAAAGCTGAGTAAAAGTTTTCCTGACTAAACCTCCATCTGCTGTTCAGGATGTGTCAATAGTTTTGAATGTTGCTGAGAGGCCCAGTAGAGCAAGAAACACTGCACTCTGCCTACCTAGGTGATGATCAGGATGATTTGATCACATGCCCAGGTTAAAATTCACTTCATCCAGGATGCTCTTGAGCCAAATCCTCATCACATTCTCAGCCTTTATGTAGAAAGGATCACTTCTTCAAGGTAATTGGTATAGTAGTCCCTTCCCTCAAAGAAGTATTTTCCATCCCGCAAACCCAGTTGCCTGTTTCTTCTTTGTCTGCCTATATAAGTCCAGGAAGAAAAAAAAACTGCTCCAAAAGTTTCCGCAGAGAAAACAGTTCCAGAGAACCTTACAAGCCATTGTTGCATCAGCTACGTCACTGAATTCTGCCTTTAATTATGTGTCCAACTTGCAAATTCAAGTGATTTTTTTTATCTCCCAAATGCCTTATAAACAAGTCCCAGCAGCCTGAAGTTCTTTTCATCTATCATTCCCCAACAGCATGCCAGTCTGTCTAAACAGAGCTGTGAGATGCACAGAAATAATAAGGGTACAGATATAACTATTTCACCATCTTAACCAGCAAAGTAAATGTTTAACATTGTAAGCCACCCAGAGTTGCCCTGTGGTAACATGGGTGGCCAATAAATTTGATAGATAGACAGACAGACAGACAGAGACATCCAAACCTAGGCTCATGCCAGTGTTCAATGATATTCTTCATTTTTACTATCTAGAACAGGGGTAGTCAACCTTGGCTCTTTTATGACTCGTGGACTTCAACTCTCAGAATTCCTGAGCCAGCCATGCTGGCTCAGGAATTCTGAGAGTTGAAGTCCACGAGTCATAAAAGAGCCAAGGTTGACTACCCCTGTTCTAGAATCTGTAGAATCTACATTTAATTTCCTTGAGCTGTTCACAAGTGATAGCAGCCTTCATGGTAAATAGGCAACTGTGCTTTTAAAAAACTCACATTGTTCTTATTTGAATTTATGCAAGTGGAAATTGTTTGTATTAATATATCTCATTCTCAATGTAAATAGACTTTATGAGAGCTTTACATTTACCTGTAGTCTCTTAAAGAAAAACAGTATAGCATGAGAGTTAATAACAATGGAGTTGAAAATCTGTATTTCTCTCTATCAGTGTCATATCTATTCTCTTTAGAATGTCAGGAATGATGACAAATGCTATTGGTGGTCCTGCTGCAGGTGTTGGTGGTCTCACTGATCTCTCAAGCTTAATTCACGCGTGAGTATATATGATTTAATCCATTTAGCTAGCATTTGAGAAAAGGTTAGGCTTTAAAAAGTTTAAGATGTTTCATAGATATTTCTGGCTGTCAAAATGACTAGAAATTCTAGAAATAATTTAATGAAGGATTTGTAATTACAGTAAGTAAAAGTAGTATGGTGTTTGTTTTACTTTGTTTTGTTTAATTCTTTGAGTTGTTCTTGTCTCCTGGCAATTGCCTGGACAAGTCCCCGCAGTTTTCTTGGCAATATTTCAGAAGTGGTGTGCCATTGCCTCCCTCTTAGGGCTGAGAGAAAGTGACTGGTCCAGCTGGATTCATGGGTCCAAAGTTGAAAAGAGCTCCTTTAGTTTGGGTGTTGGCATGCGCTTATTGTATATATGTTGCATGTATCTCCTTAAATAAGGCATTTTTTTCACCAACTTGCACAGCGCCATTTCTATAGTGCAGCGTGCCTGGCTGAGGAGTTCTGGGAGTTGAAGTCCACAAGTCATAAAAGGGCCAAGTTTGAAGACCCCTGCTATAGTGCGTGCTAACTCCCAGAAACCTCATTTTGGTTTTTACTTTTTCACCTTGTTGTCCCTCATACCCATTCCATTAGTTCACTACTTTGAGAGTTCATTTGATATAGTATATTGTTGCAAATACTACTTGTAGTAAAAATATGTTAGACTTCCTGAAAGAAATTCAGCAATTCTTACCAAGGCTGAATTCACATACTGCTCTAAACCATATAGTTTTATCCCCACGACTAGTTCATCAGGCATAGTTTGCTCTCACGCATATCAAATGTGGCTGAGTTTAGATACTGAATTAAGCCAAAGCCAACCAAAACACTTTATGGCTTAATGTAGTGTAAACCTAAATCTTAAAAAAAATTTTTTTAGAAAATATAATGTACATTGACATATAACACAGAAATAAAGTTTATTCTTTGTTGTTTTTATCACTTTTTATATTGTTTAACATAGTAATCCTCGACTTATGATCAGTCACTTAGCAACCATTTGAAGTTATGATGGACCCTTCCAAAAGGCAGTTATAGCCTGGTTCTGACAGCAGCATCCTCCGCCCGCCCCCCCTTCAGTTACATTTCAGATGCATTCCAACTGGCCCACATTTACAGCCATTTTCAGCATCCCAAAGTTATGTGACTGTAATTTATGTTTTTGTCAAACACCAGAATTTACTTTCAGTTTCCAGCAAAACACCTCATAGCAAACAATGGGTTTGCTTAACAACAGTGGATTCACTTAATTACCATGATAATAATGATGGCTGCTAAAAAGATAAAATAAAGTTGGTCATGTGCTGACCCACTTTACGGCCATCACAATTTATGACCATAATGGGCCGGCTTCATTAGTGTCACATAAGTCAAGGACTACCTGTACATCCTTAGATTAACATTAAGTTAGAGAGAATTTTCAAATGCTTACTCTCTTAGGGTAAACAGAGTAACTTCTGTTTGAATAATATTATTTTTTACATCTTTGAGTATTACACAATAGTGACTGTCTTTTTTTATCTTTGTTTTAAAAAATACACATTTTGTACAGGGGACAGCAATTTGCCCAGCAGATCCAGCAACAAAATCCAGAACTCATAGAGCAACTGCGAAACCATGTTCGAAGCAGATCTTTCAGTGGTAGCACTGAAGAACATTCTTGATTCAAGAAACATCAATTAAAATATTGTTCTACTAATTCCAAAAGGCATATTGTAGCTTGTAGCAAATATCACCATTGTAATTCTTCTCAGACATGAGATAGAAAATTATTTGTGTGTATTCCTTATTGTCTGTTGAAAACAGATCATTGCACACAGATTTGAACATATCATGTATGTTTAGTGATGCCTTTGTACATGGACTATAATTAGAACTGTTGACTTATTACAATCTCTATGTCAGGGGAGCATCTTAATATTAATAAGCAACAGCATGTGGATTTTTCATTCTGAGAGAATGGATTTTTGCAGCATACTGTGCACTGAAAAACAGCTGGTGCATGTCAGAGGAATAGAAGATGGGCTATCACTCTTGTATAAAGGTTATGTATAAATTATATTTGATAAGGTTGTTTCTTGCCCTCTAATACAAGGCTGTGGGGTACATATACAATTATGCATGTCTAATTGGCAATAAACAAAGAGTTCACTTTTGACAAAGTATGGTTGATTATTGGAATTGTTGAAAGAAAAGACAGCCTGTTTGAATTGCTTCAGGATAAGATAATATGGCAGGTCAAAGAAAAGCTGAGTGAACAGAAGTTGGGGAAAGATGGATAGGTTTGGTTATAGAAAGTGGACCAGAGATATTAAGCTGCATTTATAATGTAAGAGGGCAGCTAAAGCCAAATCAGTTTGTAGAGTGATTGCTATTGATTAACTGCTAAGTTTGAAAAGAAGATATAGAGAAATGCTTGTTCTTCTATATTGTTTTACAAATGGATTAACATCCAAATCTTCTATACTATGGGGATGGGAGAATACAATTGTGAATTCCATCTTTAAGAGGTATAATTAAGTAATGGAGTCTCCACATAACTTGCGTTCAATGGTTAGTAGAAGGATGAAGTTAGAATGGATGTCCAGAAGTAGTACATAAAGGAATGTTAAAGAGAACGCTCCAGAGAATATAGAATGGGGAGAATCTGCATATGGAAACTCTAAAGATCTTTCTTATGAAATGATACCATGTTCTATATTAATATAATTTTATATGCATGGTATCAACTGTATTTGTCATCTGCCTGCTTGCATAGTCCTGGAAGGTTGACTGTACATTACAGATCCATTTAAGTATTGAGATGGCATACCTAAGTATATTGTTTAAAACACTGACTAATATATAAAACTGCATTCATCATAGTTTTATCCCTCTACTATGAATCTGATTGCAACCCCCCCCCCCACTATTATTTTTCCTTGTTTCTTTTCTCCCTCCCATTTTTTTTTATAATACAGAACAGAATTATTTAAATCATTTCTGCAAGAATAGAACGGTTTATTCAGGAGAAAGCTTTCAGTGTCACAGTATGTTATATTTAGAAAACTTTTCATGGGAGGATATCCTGGAATATTGATTGGGTGGAAGAACATTGACAACCTTCTGTTCCAAACAATAATTTGTTAAACATTTATTCTGAATATATGTGGAAAACCATCCTGACTCTTCCATAAACTTTCCTCCCGTGTTTAACACGTTTTGTTGACACTAGAACAGATTAAACTCACTGCATTAAGTGTATACTCTAAAAGTTGAAGAAACTGCTAACAAATAATAATTTAGAATAAGTTTGTAGTTCAGATGTTAATAATTAACTCTAAAAACTGTTCTAAATTATACTATGTGTAATTAATGTTCTGAAATCATTTGGTAAATTTACTCCTAATGCTAACTTAATAATTGCTGCTGTAGTGCTTACTGTTGCTAATCTAATTCTAAAATGAAGATTCCATGTTTTTCTTAGCTACCCCACCCCTTCTATAAGCATGTGTTAAAATGTCCTGTGTATCCTGATTCATTGTCTTTCAAATTCAAAAAGGTAGGTGTGTAATACAGCACTAGCATTTTCATATTCACAGTGGAGTATTTGCCAAATGAATGCGTATTTCAGAAAGTAACATTTAAATAACTATTCACATTCCACTCTATTCCTTATCTCGATTTTTCAAGGATGTATAATGGATCAGTCCTTTGTTATTTGGAATAAGTTTAATAAAACAAATATGCCGTTTTCATATACAATATTGTCTGAGGTGGGGTTTTTTTCATTCTTTATTTCAGGAAAAAGTCTATACTCATGTCTCAAGCTACTTTAAACCAGGGATATTTGTAGAGGTAACTGCACTTATAGCTACATATTCTATTTAAAAATTTAGCCATTGCTATTAAGTGACAGAGTTCTTCTTAAGTTTAATATAACTTGTTTCCTAAGTAAAGATTGCCATTAGGAGTAAAAAAAATCCTATTTCATGTTAAACTTTCATAACAAATGCCAACAATTGTGGCAAGTACCAAAAATCACCACAGAAAACAGTATCTGATATAATTATATTAGTATCTGATATAATTAAATTTTCTTGTTATTCCCAGCTCTTTATACCCTTTATTTGGTCTACAAATCTGAATTTTTAATTATCAAACCACTCATTTTACTGAATCACTATATGTAGCCTTACTAACACATATTCCTTCAACCAGGCAAACCCACCATCTAATGTACAGATTGAGATGACCCATGTCAAATATAACTGGGATGAGAAGGAATCTGCCCAATTGGAATCCAGCACTCTCCATCAGTTGAAACCATCTTGGAAAAATACAATAGTGCCTTTTTCAAAAGAATCATAGTAATGTGGTCCACCCAAGAATCTTGTAGCAATTTGAAGGTATCAATTCATAGTAATTTCAAAATCTGTGTACTGTGTTACAATACTTTCAGAAGCACGAAGTGTTACCATGAGTTGTAGGTGTATCCATACAAATTCTTTAATAAATGAGACCTAAGGAAATATATAGGAAGTTACTGGAGATGGCACAGTTCTGTTACAGCTAAGCTAATTTGCATATATAGTGGAATTAAAACTTCTGTGCACTATTAGTTGAATAATAGTGGCTGAAAATTAAATGGCTGAAACTTCTGTTTTCCAGAAACTTGATTTAATTGCTAAAGTAATAGTCTGGAGCACCCTGACCTGTTTCTGAAAGGCTTCAATGGATTCCAGTTTCCTTTAAGTATACATTATAGCCGGTGGCAATAATATTAATCTTTTATTGAAACTTGCTTCAATTCATTTTAGTGACTGCAAACCTCTTATGTACTTTTTGCTGAAAAAAAAAATTAGAAATGATAGATTATGGAAGAAGGAAACTTTAACGCAACACTATAAAAATATTTATATTTTTATAACTGCTGTTAAGAATAACCAGAAACCTCTTCCTTAATATTTTTTTCTTTTTCCTCTTCTACTTCTTCACTTTTCTATTACTTTTATCTATTTCTCTTTAATTCAAAATTTGAATCGCAGCATACATGTGTTGCATTTAAACCCAAAATTCAATTAGTTATCAAATATAGGGACAAATGAAGGTTGGAAGGTATTTCTTGTCTGAGAGTTGTGTAAATAACTTTAGCTGTGAAATGTGAAATAAATCTTGAGACTGCCAACTTCATCTAGTATTAAAAAAAAAACCAGGAACATGGAGCAGGACTTACCATGCCTAAAGATACTGGAAACATTCATGGGCCCACTTGAATTAAACTAGGTAAAGGTTGGAGAACCTGTGGTCCTTCAGTTGTTTTTGCAATATAGTTTCCAGCATCTTTCATCAATAGCTACAGACGTCATGGTAATTCAATTATATTTAAGAGTCACCTGGATTCTCCCAGTTTCATATACTAAGGATGAACAACCTAAAATGAAATAATTCATACAAAATAGCTTGCAATAGAATGTCTAATCAGTCTTAAAGGGCAAATAGATTGCTATTCATCAAGAAGCCTTCTAGTTCATAGGCAATAGCTTTATTCATGCAAAACCCTAAGTCATTATATGATGCATCTCATTTTGAGTTAAAGCTACATATGCATCCATATTACAATTTAAGGTTATATGTGAACCAAGACATTGTGATTTGTTTAGCAAACCATAGTTATCCTTTCGTTAGCATCAGGTGTAAACTCTTCCTGTATGCTGGTACATATCTACAGTTCCTAAAGAAATAACAATGAGAACTGTCTATTAATTTAAAGCATCCCTTGACTCCCAGAGACACCTGGTTACTTACTGGAAAAGAGAATGCTATATTAGACAGAAGTTTAATCTGATTCAGAATTTACTTTGTTCAAATCTACATTTTTGTTTCTTTCCCAAATCAATTTTCCCCCAAACCACCTATTTCCCCAACTCTAGGTTCACATGTAGAGTTGTAGGTGCACATGTAAAGTTAGAGTCATGCAATATATGTTGTATAATTCTATATAACATGGTTCAAACCACAAATCCTTTAATCTTCAAATATCATCTATAAATCTCTATGTTCCTACATTTATAGAATCCTGTTTTTTTCAAATGAAGACTGGGAAAATTTTTCCAGTGCCCTCCCCATGTACAGAATTATTGAATTACAAATCATACTGCAAGTATTAGAAAATGATCTGTACAAAAATGTAACACAAATAGTTGTGTAAGTTGCCTAAGTCTTTATTTCCAAATAGATTAAAATATACATCATTGTTGACCCTTAGCAGCTATTTTTAAACGTTCCAAAAGTGTCATGTTCATTTATAGGAGGATTATTAAAGAAGAACATTTTTTTCTCTTGATACAGTTGGCGTACTCTGGATTTATTAGATTGTTGTCAGACAATTGGTCCACAAATCTTAAGAAATGTTTAAAAATATTTTCTTAGTTTTATTTCATTTTGAAGAAACCACACAGACTTGAGCGATATCATCATATTCATATGTTCTTTTCAAAAAAGTATCTGTTAATCTTAAGCCAGAGACACTCTAAAATGGAAAGAAAGGATAGACACAGTGATTAAAGTGATTGGAGACAAAATAAAGCTAAAATCAGAGCCACTTTAATATCTTACTTGTAGTCCCTGTACTGATGATAGCAGTGTAAGTGTCAAATATAGAGATGAAGTAGGATGCAGTTTGCCCAGCTGTCTTCCTGACACACCACACCAGTGAATTGAATTAGTATTGCACATTTCCAAAACCAGATCCATGGTCCTTTCACTGCTAGATAAAATGTATACATATAATTTAATACAAATACCAGTTTTTTAAAGGTCCAGTTCATATCACTTTTCTTACTATACCAGTTTTTCTTTTTGGCAATTTTAGATGGTACACATCATGATTCATTCATCTTATGCACACATTTCTATGATGTTGAATTTCAAATGCAGGGGCAGAGATAGAAAATTTAAATTTAAAGACCACATCCTTTTGAGAAGTCTTTTCTAGGAATCACTTAACAGTTCGGCAAGTGCCGCTAGATTCTTTCTTATGCATATTGGCCTTTCATAAATAATATTGATCTAATAATTCATACCCATCCATCTATACCTCAGAAATTCTGTGTTTTGGTTATGAAATTATAAATGGCATTACAATTGAAGAAAGATAGGATGCAGATGAATTAGAGATTCTCCAGCTTGGTTTATATAATGTTCAGCAGTGAATTTTAGAAAATTTTAATTTTAATTGATTTAAATATGAAGTATTAAAGCAAGGTACAGAGTGTCTTAGTTCATACAAAATGCTACTCTTGTTAACAGAATACATGTCACTTATACATATTATGTCTATGAAAGCTTGGTTCATGAAACTTGTCTAGATTCCTACAGCATACTAACCTACAAACAACCCTATCTTAGTTAATGGGTTGTACAAACCAAGTTCTACATATTTATAATGGAAAGTTCAGCAAAAATACACATACCAACCTTCTTTACATTATGCTTAATCATACTGTGGTTTGCTTATTTTTGGCTTGTGGTGTGTGCACTTAGCGACTGTGTGCTTATGTGGTGTGCGCACCTAGCCACTGTGGCTTATTAAACAACAAACCACAGTTAAGCAAATGACTTGGTACAGTTTATTAGATAAGCTACAATCACACTAGCTATGTTAAAAACTAAAGTTATCACATTAAACTGTAATTTTGAACCCAGTCAATAATTAAAACTAGAACACAACTTTATCCTTTCTTATTAATACATACACCTCAAACGTTGTGAAATTAATCATTTCTAATTCTAAACCTGAGTGATTGAAGGTAGGATTACTGGCAATCTATTTGTAAAAATATTTCTAAGAGCCAATTGCTTCAACAAAGTAATTTTAACCATAATATTATGAATCTATTTTGTGAATTTCATATTAACATTAATATTTTAGTATAAACAATCCTCGCTTAACAACAGCCCTGTTTAGCAACTGTTCAAATTTACAATGGCACTGAAAAAGTAACTTTGGCCAGTCCTCACACTTACAACCATTGTAGGGTCATGTGATCGAGATTCAGATGCTTTGCCACCAGCAGGTATTTATAAACTCCACAGCATCCCATGGACATGATAGCCATTTGTGCACTTTTTCTGCTGGCTTTTGACTGACAGTCAATGGAGAACCCGGCAGTAAAATCACAAGTCATGGACATGTGATATCTGATTAACTAGTGAATTGATTAGTGACAGACGTTTGGTTCCAATTGTGATCATTAGTTGAGGACTACCTGTGCATCTAAAAATAATGATCAAATCATACTGAGTGAGCCATCTCTACAGAGCTTTTCCTTTGATAGAAAATAAAGATTCCATTCTGAAAATCCAAATGAGCAAGGGAAAGTATTGCATTACCTGCAGTTTGTTATTTTACAAGTGATGTTGAAAGGCTCTTCCAGGCTGACTGTGTCAGGTATTGTCTCCAACGAAAGCCTCACATCACCGTAACCTGGAGCCTAAGGAGTATTAAAAGCTTAGCAAAGCATGATTGATCATTCTTACAGTATGTGCCATCAAGTCATTTTTAACTCCTAGCAAAAACAAAGCATCATAACAATATCTTTGTGCACCTTGTCTAACCTCAATGTACTATGGATGAAAGTGTAAGAAATTAAATTAACCTTTCAAATGTCATTGAGAGACCATAATATCTTCCTTTGGCTAGAATCATGAAATAGTGCATTAGTCACCAGTTGCAAGCTATACATTCTTGCAAAGGGAGACAACCAATATAATATTCACAAGTTTTATATTTTCCATTTATTTTAATGGCATCCTCCAGCTGCTATTATTCCTCATGGACTATGTTTTAAAGATAGCATTTTTAAAATTCTTTTTAAGGATATTGTACTGCCATTTGCATGAGACCACAAAAACATTCCTATTTCAACGATGATTTCAATGGACTGGTTATCTAATGGTTTCTGGGAAATCTGCAAGCAAGGCACAAAGGTGATGGTTTTCTCCTACTAGCTGCCTCCTAGCATCTGATATTGATTCTACATACAGAGGCTCCGCTGAGACATCCATGCTATTACAGACTGATAATTCTATGCTTCATTAATCTGTCTAATCCCTTTTAAAGGCACTTAAGCAAATGGCCATCATCCTACAGGGCCATTTTGTGGAATGAAAACAATGAAATAATGAAGAATAAGGGATATGTTCATTCCAACTCTTTAACAACAGATGACAAATGAAAAAACACACATATTACTTGGCTTTTTGCTATTTCTGAAAATTGTTCTTGAAGATTAAAAAAGATGCTCAGATATACCTAAAAAGGTGTTTTCTGAAAAATATATAGGTAAATATTAAGACACTAATTTATCATGTACAACATATATTCATCATGCTCAGTGTGAATTGTCAGCAGACAGATTCTTCACTATTTTTCCTTCTGTTCACAGCAAAGAAAATGCAGCTTAGCTTTCTTCAAAGAGAATATCATAAAAAAGGACTTGCCATTCTTTGAAGTTGGCTGGTTTGCAACCTTCCCCTTTCACCCAAATTTGTCTTCCATACAATGTCGAGCTTCCCAATAACTGTTACACCTTTAATAACACCAACTTTTTCTGAAAATTCCTGCTTGGGTTTCAGACAATATAAATACTGGCGTGTGTCCATTGGTTGTAAGTATGTTCTTGTACCAAATGTTGACACACTAGAGGGAAAGTAAAAGTTCACCTTAGCTTATACTTCAGATTTAGATTTCTAGATAATTCATTTAAGAATCAGTCTACAGATATGGCAAATAAATTGACACAAAGAGAAGGAAAACAAAATCACTCAAAATTAAATTTGAAGCCCTTGTTCTTTAGAGGTTAAATGTTTGGGTTGGCATGAGGAAACCAAGGTTCTCCAGCCTAATCATGGAAGGTCACCGAATGACTTCAGGTTGGTCACTCTCATCCCAACTGTAAAGGTAAGTGGAAGTGCCTTGGGAGAAGAGGTACGGGGCAAGGGGAGAAGAGATGTTGCCTACTGAAATGATAAGAAAGGGCACAGCCCACAGCCACATAATAGCTGGAGAATGAGGCTCAAAAGGAATCTTCCCCTTTCAGACTTGCAAGTTTCTGTTAAAGTAACCTTACAGTACAGCCTTACAGTAAAGTAACATTACGTCATCTGGTCCGGTTTCATGTTCTACCTCAAAAAGCTAACACCAACCTATCTCAGAAAGGATTGCTGAGAGAAAAAAATAGGAAGATGGAACGTTGTATAATGTTGTGTTCCGGAATGAAAGGTAAGATATATAGCTAACCAACATAATAAATGTTAAAAGCCTGTTTGCCATATATATATTTCGTTATGTACTACAATCTATGAATTGAAAAGATGGTGGCAGTTAAGTTTTTTTAAAAAAAATTCCAAGTTTTAAAGATTTTTTTTAAAAAAAATCTTCAAAATACTAGTTTTCCTCACATGTTAACACATGCAGAATATTTAGACATAAAGTTTGTTCTATTTATGAATGAGGTACTGTAATCCAAAGAACAGCACTAATAATAAAGTTTGTATCACATCATACACAGATAAAAAACTTAATGCTTAGGAATATAAAACACATTTCTATTTCTGTTACCAGTGAGAGACACTCTTCATCTTGCAAAAACTTTTAATTAAATAAGCGGTTAGGGTTTTTACATAACAGTCCATTTTATGTAATGTAGATCAATATCTTTTATAATCTAGTTCTTCATAACTGCAAATTTATGTAAGTGGGTGCCAAAAAATCACAACCATAACATTTGTGATTCTTAGATCATAACCTAAGAAGGTTAATCTAGGGAAAGGAAGAAAATCTAAAGAAGAAATAGACAATTTGATGCTAAACTGCCCTCAGTACTCCTAATATAGGGAGGCACAGTACACAGAGCCTATATACAGAAACAGTTCCAATTAGATAGAGATGTTTTTGCTTTCTATAGGTGAATGTAAATACAGTATTCTCAAATAAAACTGGCTACAAACAAGTCTCTTACCTGTCTCTACCTTGGTTGACTGTATTTAATTCTGCTACATTGTACATAATAGACGGTTCTAAGGATACCTTCTCCATAAACATTGGAGAGCTTGTGATATTCTGAATCTGAGCTTCCAAAAACACTTCATCAGTCTGAAAAATCAAGGAAAATGCTTAAATAAAGAATTGTCTGAACTGAGAAAAGTCCCAGCACTTTAAAGGTTTGAAAAACATTAAACCACATACGCAGTTAGTTTCATGCCTGAAAAATCAAAGTCACAGTAATTAAATGCGAGAAAAGTCTTCATCTCAAAGAAGAGCAATAGAAGCAAAAAAAGTTAGTCAACTGGAATTGTGCTGAACAATGGGTGTGGGATAATTTCTTACATTATCCTGGCTTATGGTAATATCTTAAGGTCTGCATATTGATCTACAATCACATCAATTCAGAATTCATCAAAAAAGGAAAGTATGTTTAAGAAATGAGAAATGACTGCAATGCATATGTACACATGCCGTGCCAGTGATACATCGGACTACATACAAAGAAAATATGGGATTATTAATGGGGAGCTTTGCAACTGTTTCTGACAGTATGCCAACTATCCCAGAAGCTCTGGTACAGTCAATGCTATAATCACTATTTACTGTTACATTTTATTGCTATGAATTTCTTCTGAAGCTCTTACACATTAATATTGTCACATAGGTTAATTTTCTTATTATCTCACTGTTATTTCTTGCTCTAAGACTTCCAATAATAAGCATGTGATCTTATTTTTATTTTCATGACTGAACAGTTTGACACTAGTGGACTCTGCCAAAACAACTAATTTAGCATAAGAAGATTAGTTGTCAGTTTCAAGACTAAAATGCATGTATTTTAAAAGCCCAAGCTTGTTCTCACCTTTCACAAAGATTTATGGACAAAGACATACTATAAAAAGCATGCAGCAGATGCAGTCTTTATGTGTGTGAACTCAACTTGATCTAATTTCAATTAAATCAACTCCCTAGGTAAATGTGCCTGAGGATATTAGCCTGAGTGGTCATTTTCTTCACAGACAGAATGCAAAAGTACCTGAGTAGCATTAATGTAATCTAGTACATCTCCTTATATTAATTAGTTCAGATATTAATATATTTAATTAAGTTCATTAATAGAGTTAATAAACAGACTTCATCAATAAATTATATCATTTCAATTATATGTCAAAATAAAACGTGAAGTACACAGAAGGAGCATAATAAAAATAAGCAAAAATTATTCATCTTCAGGATTGAAATATTTTAAATCATTAAGTGGCAAGTAAAAGTGATTTAATGTTTTAAAAATAATTATAATAATTTAGCAGTATGCAGAGATTCATGGATGTTTGCATGTGAACTGCATGATTCCTCTTAGCAGCAAAATAATTCTTTATGTTTTCATTCTCTCCAAGAGCTTAGTGCTGCAAAGCAAAATAAAGAAGCTAGTCTTTTCAAGCAGAAATCAAAACCTGTTGATGATTAAAGAGGCTAGCATGGTAGAGATTAAAATAGCTACTTGATCAAGTCTCCTAATCACACCCTGCTCTTCAAAACATATGCAAGGAAAAATTCACAGCATGTTTTCTACTGCTAGGCAAATCTTTTTTAAAAAAGGCCTTTGAAATCTGCAGTAACCCTTCTCACATGGCTGCTTCATAAGATGCTTCTGGTTGTCTCTGCACATATGTAAAAAAAAGACTACATTGCTTTGAGGATTCAAAAAAAAGAAGTTCATATGCGCTCCCATGCATTGCAAAACATCTCTTTTAAAGGATTTGGAGTCCTAATGTGTAAAAAGTTATTTAGAATAGCATGTTGAATAATTGTAGCAAACTGCACAGTAAATTCTAGCCTATTATATCCCTGGATGAACATGAATTTGGGCAAACTCCAGGAGACAGTGGAGGACAGGGGAGCCCAGTGTGCTATGGTCCATGGAGTCACAAAGAGTCAGATATCATTTAGCAACTGAACAACAATAAATATTCCTGGATACTGACTTGAGATGAGCAAAAAAAGAAAAAATAGACTCAGTTTGGATTTTAATACTAAATCCCAAAATAACATTATTAAAACCATTGCAGAGCATATGGTACTGGGACTGCAAACTCCTTCCTTTCAGGTGCACCTCTTAAAAATGTTCAGAGCTCTTCTTTCCATTTTAGATTAGCACACAATCCGTGTGTTTTCTGAGTTCTGCAATACTTCAAATTAATTACAATTATGAGAATCAATTTAATTTTACACCACTAATTATGGCTTACTTGCATTACCCATAGTTAAGATAGATAAAGATTTGGATGCCATACTAAAATATGGTCAATTTTGTCCCCTTCCTAATCACACTGGAAGAATTCAAGGAATTCAAGAGGTCATGAAGATACTAAAAATGTAGAGCTATGTTTGAATGCAGCCTTTGTCAAGCAAAATACCAGTGACAAATTCAGTTATCTTGCTTCTTAAGCATTTGAGCTTAATTGCTCCCACATTTTCCAGTATCTGATATTCAAAACATTCTACTATTCTGCAATAATATCTTATAAATCCACTAAATCTAATCTCTGGGGTTTCCATATATCCCTCTAGTAGATTTAAAATAGAATCCATTAACAAAAAATTAGCAATAGTTCAGTTGAGGGAAGAAAGCAAAATCAAGTAATATAATGAAAAAGCAAAGTAGAATACAATGAAGCAAGAATGGATTAATTTTAATAGTAATTTTATTAGAGCAAAATGTTTCAAAGCAAATTTGTAGATTTCACCATATATATTAAAATTTGAAATAAAATCACACTGCAGTAATGTTATAGTAAACATTGCCACATGCATTTAGGATTGGAAAGCAGCATAAGCATGTGAAGAAAAATGCAACAAATCTTAGACTCTCTCCCCCAATCCAGTGTCTTCACAAAAAAATAGGTAAAAGAAACCTAATCATGATGTAATATGATATAAGCCTATATGAAGGGCTGCATATACTTCATGCTACTCAAAAAACAAAACACACCTTTTCCCTCAAGCCATCCAAACTGAGAGAAACTACAAGATATATACATAAAAGAAATTTGAATACTTGCCTGGATACAAAAAATTACAAGAGGAAGTAAAATGGCTGACAGATTTCTGTTTAAAAATACCATCTGCTTGACACAATGCTCTAAAAATATGTTTCATAGCAGGTTGTAGGTTTCAATTTGTCCCAAACTTTTGTAACTGGGGGAGGGGAAAAAAACCTTTAGTGAAAAAACCCCACAAAGCAAACATTCTATTTTTGTCAGCAGAAAAATATTTGCTAATGTTTTCCACTCAATCCTTTTGATTTTACATACTTTCTTTATCATTTTGCATGATTTATTCTGGCTTTGTTAGTCATGAGAGAGGACCATGTAAAATATATGACCAGTAGTTTTTACTATCAAATAGCAACAGATTTATTCAAATTCCTGTTTGGCTTCAGAATTTTTCAGATAGATTCTAGCTTCTGGACATTTTCCAATGTTATTATATTTAAAAACTATGAAAGCATATACTGTATTCCCTAGAATGTATTTCCAATTAAAAATTGTGTTTTTTTTCATGTTACACAAGCAGCCTTATGTATATAATCTTGTAGTAGTGTAATGAACCTTGAGAATATCATGTGTTGCAAAAAAAAAGAAATTGTTTGTTTTTGAGAGCATGTTACTGAAAACTAATGAAAGCAATGGATAACAAGGAAAGAGCTAATGCATTTGGAGAGCTGTTTTTTCCCCACCCTCACCAATATTTTTTAAATTCCAGAACAAAAAAAAAGCAAAAGGCAATATTTATGGGTCAGTACAGCAAACATTGCTTTTCCATTATATTTGAACAAAATGTTAGTAACAGGCAGAAAGACAAACAGAAGACAAGCATACATACATATTTATAAATAATAAATAAAAATTACCACAGAACTGAGGTCACTCTAATGGGAAAATAAAAAGAAAAACATTAGAGAATTTAGGGTTAAATGTTAAAGAAAAAAGGAGGATAACCACGTTTCAAATAAAATGCATATTTTTGCATTTTTTTGTGTATTTCAACAAGACAGCATTAGTAAGAGAAAAATGTACACTGCAGTAAAATGAAAAGGATCACTAATAAGACATTTGACTTCTAAATAAGACTTGTGCCAGCAAATGGTATAACAAAGGAAAAATTATGTGGAATGGTAAAGACAGTAATTGCACAATGAACACACTGGTGGTAAACTAGTACATGCTCAGGAAAGAGGTTCTACATGGAAAATATCTGGATTTCTTTTCTTTTAGGGTTTCATCTTGTATACTGTCTCTCAACATGGAAGATTTCCATAATAGAAACCAAATATGTTTAGAGATAACTTCCCTCTTTAAAGCATACAACCAAGTGCAAAGTTACAGGAAGCATGGTTGAGGAAATATAATTTTAAAAATGCATCCTCCACTCAATTACATACATTGAAACATGAAACTGGCTTCAATTTCTCAACTTATTTTAATTTGTTGAGGCATATTTTCTTTTTCTGTATGAAGCTGTTATTTAGCCTTCTGTTTGTTTGTTTGTTTGTTTGTTCGTTCATTCATTTCATATTCTGCAAATATTGTGCAGAAGACCTATGAAAATCAAATTAACAGTCTGGTGCCAGAAGAGCATGACTGTCCATTTTCTGTCTCCTATCACAGTTTTTTTTTTCTCTTTAATTTGGCAGGTGCAGGAGACGCAGCAGGCAAGAGTTGAGAAAAATCAAAGAAATTTTATTTCTTGCTTGCTAAGACCATTCTTCTCTAAGTAATAATTCTGAATACAGGTCCACTTTTGGGGAAAAATATTGAGTAAAAATACCCAATACTTTCAACATTTTTCCCATGTCAAAACATATAATTATATTGGAATAGCAATTATAAATGAGTAGATTAAGAAGGGAGTAAATTGTATTTACTCAGCAATTTTTGCTCACTTATAAATAGGGATACACCCTTCCATGCGCACCCTCACAATCACTCAGACAGATATTCCATTGTCACAGAACCTATCAGGTAGCTATTTTATATACCCAACATATCTAAACGTATTGTCAGGATTGACATCCCCATTTTGCACATCTTTCATGCATGCAACATCATACCAAGGTCCCCAGAGGCTCCATTATGCCATAGACACATTTGATGCCCCTTAGGTTCCATGTTGTATTGATTATTTAGATTCTTTCAATTTAAATTAAATTATTTAGATTCTTTGATGTAAAAAGTGAATAAGCTAATTTGTTATTTATAGGAATGTCTGGATTGTATGATTGTTTGTACAGGAATGAATGGATTTGTATACACACAGAAGCATTCTAAAAATGGGGCTAAAATACAATGCTGAAAAAGGCAGGGGGGAAAACCCTAAGGTAGTAAAAGAGTATATTTCAAGGTATCAGGCTGTACCCCATAGTTAGGACCTGAATCATTTAACCAAGTTTAGAAGAATGTAATAACTTCTGATACATATATTTACAGAAAAAAAGTTAGCAAGATTTAATAAAACAACTCCAGTGATTGCTGGTTTCAAAAGCACAACATTCAAATCCTTTGTATTTCCTTCTCTGAAGATGCTCAGGAAAACCTCAGCAACACGGATCTTTTATCACTGGGCATGGCCACCACACTCTCATCATTTTGTGAGAGTGATATGATGTGCTGTCAAACTTCAAAATGTGCTATTTGGGCCATAAATGGCTGGGGATATCTGACATAGGTTTAAACAAAATAAGCTCTAATTAAATAAACTACTCTTTCAATTACTTTTAAAACCATTTTTTTACTTCTCTTTTTGTTTGATTTTCTTCTTAGTTTTCTGATATTATTTGTTTGATATTCTCTTAATCCATAAAAATAATCATATTCAAAAGATCCTTACTATCCTTATTATATGAAGAAGATATCCAAGTACAGGCAGAAGCTGGCTAAAAAGTCATGTTGATAAAAAAGCTGGGCTTATTAGTTTATCTCATGCAGGAGATACACAAAAAAATTCTGACACCTGGCTAAAAATAACACTTTCCATTCCTAAGAGAAATTTCCTTATATTACTGTACATTAAAAGCATCAATTTTTACTACTTACCTCAGCATTGTAGAATTTAGTTTTAACATCTAGTGGTTTAAGGACCTGCAGAAAAAAATAATAAACACTAACAGAAGATTTACTAGATTTCTTCACTGGTATTAATTTTACTGGCTTTTGTTTTTCTAAGTCCAACTGTATATCTGAGTCAAACAGAAGATGCCATTAAGGCTGTTGCCTGGAGGCTGTAAGAGTCTAGGTGGAGAAGAACAGTTTGAAATACAATTCTAGCAAGAGTGAATAGCTGTGAGTTTGGATGTCATTTGAGACCAATGAATTTTCTCTTTTAATTTTGGAAAGGGTTGTGCTCTCTCATGCTTAACTGGTATGCAATTTGGAAATTTTCCTGAACTCACAACTGCTTGTCAAAGAGCAAAATTCAGACAATTACATCTTATGTACCAAATGCAATTTTTCCTGGATCAGAAGGCCCTCCTCACAGTCAATCATGCCTTGATCATCTTATGAGTACTATTAGTTCTTGTAGAAAAGGATATCCTTCAAAACCATTTGGAAGTTATAGCTAATCCAAAATGTACTAGCTCAAACAGCTACAGGTTCTATATTATCTTCCCACGTGACATCGCTAGTGTTGTACTAGTTACCAATTGACTTTTGGTGCAATTTAAGGTACTGATTTTGTCCTCTATGGCTCAGGATCCAGGATTTTCAAGGCTGTCTTCTATCATTAATATCTGCTCTTTCAATAAGAGGTAGGACGGAAAAAAATCCTCCATGTCCCTACACTTAAGAAGTGCTTCATCTGGGACATTTTTCTGTCAGTGCTCCCTTCCTCAGCATTCTCACAAAGCTCAAGCTGTCCCCAATTCTATTACAATTCCAAAAAGTTATGAAGATTTATACAAAGATCAAGCATTTTTATCTATGTGGGTTCAATAAGTTTTGTTTCAAGTAAGCCCAGCTTTCCATGAAACCTTCGTGTCATAAACTGGGCTTATTTGAAAAAAGTACCAGTATGGATAGAAGTTTTCAATCATCTTCAGAAAATATTATACTATTTGTGTAGAGTCAGTTACACAATCTAGAGATTTCCTAAACTTGGTGTTATTGAGTCTCAACGGATGGTCGCATCTTCCAGCCTTAAATGAGTAGACTCTAGAATACGAGAGAACATATGCAATTTTGCTTTAATTTTTTATTAAATGTAATCTAATTTTATTCTATCTTCATCTATTTTTAAGTAGTGATTAAAAAATGTAATATTTAGTCTGAAAAAATAGCCCATATGTATGAGCTTCACACAGTGAATAACATAGTGATGAAAACTACTTAGCATCTCACCAGCACAATCATGGAATTTTGGTCCAGCACTGCATACTCCTCTGGATCCCCCTCCTCATATGCATCAAACCCTTTTCCTGGTAGTTTATTTTAGGAGTGATACATTGTAGTGAAACAAGCCTAACATTAAATACAACCTGAACATTCTCCCCTCCCAGATTTATCTTATAAACATTCAATACAATGTTGAGAATGTATAGGAAAGAGATGGCGGAATAAAGAGATACTACTGACAGTTAGTGTCAAGCCGTAGCTTGTATTTTCAATACCTGGAACTTGAAGAACTTTCGGAAGTACATCTTTTCACCAGTCTGTGTGGTATAGCTTACGGCACATACCAAACTGAAAGACACAAATAGTTCAGTGGATTTTAACTATTTGGGGTAGGGACAATGCACATCTGTTATCTATCTGTCTGTCTGCCTATCTATTACAAAGTATGAACAATGAGTATGTAGTTATGAATATAAGAAAATATAAATATCTCACATGTGTGTCCCTATTTCCTTTACTTCATGATGGATTACATCATCAATGCAACAGTCCTGCTTCAGTTCTGCCACTGCAGCACTAGAGGCTGAAAGGTTTAAGCGCTGTGAACTTGTCTGTAGGTCAGCCTTGGAAGTTGGACAAAGGCAAAAAATATATATCATTAAATAAAAGAGTAAATAAGTTTTGGAAGACACCCATAGAAATGAATGGCGTTATATCAAAATTGTAGATTGGCTCAGAGAATAACAGAAGTCAATACTGTTCTATTAGAAAATTCTCATCTTCACATTTTACAGATGGAACAAGACATACTCAATAGCATTCTACTAAGGTCATATTTATAAGTATGACTTACTTACATTATGAAACCTGACTTTTCCTGGCCTAAAAACAAACTGGCATTTGGTGGTCAAGAGCTGTACTTCTGCAAATGGCTGGCAGGTGGTCCATCACCTGTTGGCAGGGCTGGATTTATGGGATAGTTTGGTGGCATTTCTTTGTTTTTAATTGCAGTATGTCTATTTTATAGTTTACAGCACAGCTATCATGCATTTACTACTCCTTTGAAAATGTCAGGAAATTATGTTGTTAATTTTTCAGCATTCGGAATTAGCAAAACAAGGAGACACATGGGACACAGATAATCCCTGAGCTGTAGTTTGCCCAGTTTGCTTTAGTAGTAAAACTGACATATATCNCCGGAACGCGGCGGAACGGCGTTCCGGCACCTTTTTCCGGGCCGGCCGCACCGGAAATAGCCCCTCCCACACCGGAAATAGCCCCTCCCAAATTTTACTTGCATTCCTGTTCTCTAAAGGGGCGGTCCTAGGGTTTGATGAGGGCGTGGCCAGGTTTGAGTTCCGCCACCTTTTCTCCGAGAAAAAAAGCCCTGCATATATCTACTATATAGTTTACATTAATTCTGGCTAATACATTTAAGTCGGTCATAGTTAAGCCGGAACTGGTGAGATATAAGGATTAAGGTGCTGGAAGAGCACCAGGGAGACCAGACTTAAGTTCGCATTCAGCCACAGAAATTTCCTAAGTGACCTTGGGGAAGCCCCCTCCCTCCCCTGAAAAATAAGTGGAAAGAATAATAAGTATGCTGCCTTGAATTCATGAAAGAAAAGTGGCCATAAATCTAAATAATATATAAACTCAAAATCCAGACATTCACTAAGTAGAAAATTTTCATTCAAAGAAGAAAAGAATTCCAACAATAACTGATTGTTAAGATTATTAAACTGTTAGCATTTTACATAATAGTTTACCCATAAGTAAATTCTTGGGCAAAATGTACTGGGAAGATCTGCTACAAAAGCATCACTGAGGCCAATCGGTCCCTGCCATGTTTTATTACACAAAAAGCTTGCAAGGTAGAACTTCCATTGGATTACACTTTTAAAGAAAGAAAAAAAATGCAGAACAAAGATATTTTCCAGCTTTTCTTTAAAAATCCTACTACTAAAAGGGAAAAAAATACCTTTATATTTTCTCACATTTGTGGACTAAATAATCTTACAACTTACAAATAGAAGAATTTTAATGTATTAAGAGTGATTATAGAAAACGAAGCATACCTTTACCAAAATGTCTTTTACAACTTGGTGACTGTCATTATGAACGCTAATGTAGCTGGAAAATGTTTCTCCTAAGAATATATTTCTGTTCAAACAGGAAGGAGGAAAAGATAATAAAGTTAAAAATTACTTTTTTTCTTTCTCTGATTCATTTTTACGTTCAGTCATTAGATAGTCCATCCCTGAAAGATTTCCAAAGTTTCTGTAAGACATCTCCTAGGTCAGTGACCTCCAGATATATTGGTCTGCAACACTACAGAGTTCCCAAATAATGTCATTGATTAGCACACGGGTGTCAAACTCGCCGTGTCACGTGATGTGTTGCGACGTATCGTGACTTTTTTTGCATTGCCGGAGCTGGGGTGGGCGCGGTCTCCATATGATGCAACCGGCCCACGGGCCGGCAGTTTGACTCCCCTGGATTAGAGATTCTGACACTTAATGTCTAACAACCTGAAGAAGAGGAAGGCTATGCTAATGCAGTTAGTATTGATGAAATTGATTAAAAACTTGTAATTAATTATGAACCTGTGTCTTATATAGATTTTAGCTACAGCAGTTTGTTGTATGACAAAACCAACCGAAAATAAATTAAGAAAAAGCAGAATTAATAAAAACAGATCATATGGAAAATGTGTAAGAATGTAACATAGATGTTAAAAAAAATTAAACATGCATAGAAAATAAAGCCAAGAATCACACTCTTGCCCATGCATACTAGTTGCTAGGAAACAATATAAGGAAAAAGCTATTTATATCATATCCATCATACCATAAGATATAAATAGTTTTTGAACTTCCAAGCTGCAACTGGTGGACCACTGTGCGAAACAGAATGCAGGATGTTTCCCACAGTGGTCAATGCTTTCAAATATAAAAATGTTTAACTATTTCAAGAGTCTCACTGCACTACTATAAATGAATATAAAGATTTCATTCCATTCTAGAAAACAGCTGTAACAAAGAAAAAGAGAAACCTTAAAAGCCTAAATTTATTATTGCAGGAGAGTTCAAGGATCATATTCCATCTTATCATATATACAGAATATTATATGTACACACAGCTGTGTTGTGGGCAGCGAGAGAAAAGAAACTTACAGGTAGTCCTTGGGTTACAACCACTCGTTTAGTGTCTTTCAAAGTTACAATAGTGCTGAACGACGGGGACTTACAACCAGTCATCAAAGTTTCAGTCATCACAGCCATGTGATCGTGATATGGGTATTCAGTGCCCAGCTTGCAATTATGATGTCACAGTAAGCCCTGGTTATGTGATTGTGATTTCTGACAGTCCCTGCCGATTTCCCACAAGCACAGTCAACGGGGAAGCCAGAAGTTGGAAGTTACTCCTGCTCCCACCACTTTTTTGCCTGCGCACATTCTGTAGTACCTGCCTGCCGCTTTCCATGCTCCCTGGCAGCATCCTATAGCTGCCCATGCCTCATAGTGCCTGCCTGGAGCACTGCTGCCCTTGAGAGTCTGCTTGCCTGGGACAGGTGCTTCTTCCCTACTATTGACCTGTCCAACCTTTGGGCTACAACAATAACCAGGACTACCAGGATTGCCATTGCTAAGTGATCTGGTCATGTGACATTGCACTTTATGACTGCATTATTTAGTGATGGAAATTCCAGTCTTAACTGCCATCATAACTTGAAGACTACTTGTATGAAGAGAATTAGATGTTTCTCACACATTTTTTCCTTTTCTGCTCATTATTGTTGTTGCTTCCCATTGAGTATATTTATTTTGAATAAAAATAATAAACTTAAGAAAAGTGAAAAGGAAAAAGAGGGAGGGAAGATAGAGGGGAAATGAAAAATTGTTGTTATATTAACCAGAAATAAAGCAGATATTCTTGTGCTGAAAAGTTAGTAACATACGTAGTCTTTTTATAGTCTTGGAAAAATAGTATTTGAATTAGTTTATGCCATTTCTCCTCTCAAAAATGCAACTAAGTACCGTATTTTCCGGCGTATAAGACGACTTTCTAAACTCTGAAAATCTTCTCAAAAGTCGGGGGCCGTCTTATACGCCCAGTCGTCTTATACGCCGGAAAATAAGGTATGTAGTCAGACAGCATAATTAATTAACTCAATAAATCTAAATCTATGTACAAATTCTTACCCAAAATTCTGAGGCAATGTCAACATTTCTCCAAGCATTAAGGTTTCTGCTCCTTTTACAGTAGAAGGATCATCTTTCATTAATTGATTAAATAGATCTCCTGAAGAATACAGAATTATGTCAAGTCAGCCCTATTCAGAATGCAAATTAATTAAAGATCTTATATATATTGGTATATATATATGCCAATAAAACAGAATATCTGTAGCTCAGGATTGAACTGTGGAGTCCTTGGTGCTTTCTGTGCTTGATTGGTTTTGTTTTTTTGTTTTTTTGGCTTGCAGACATTCCATTACCCAACTAGGTAACATCATTAGTGTAAGTATGTATTAAAGCTATGAAACACATAGGCTATATGAAAAGGATAACATTATCATACATCAAAGAAACAATCATCCGTAGTACAGACAGCAGAAGACTAGCAGAGCACATTCATGAACACCAACTAGCAGTTAGAAGACACAGTGAAATGTTAATTTCACAACATATGAACAACCTTAGCCAGTTTCAGGCAGGAAGCTGTCAGTACTCTAGATCCAAAAATGCTAGGGAATTCCTGGAAGCTTGGTATTCAGACAAATCAACCACCAATAGACACATAGAAATAAAGCATATTTACACACTTTTCAAAAAAGACAATAAAAAAACTAAGAATGAAATTAAAAGATTAGAATACATATTTTCAAGCAGCTAACACCCAACATCCAAATAAGCAGAGATTATCACCAGGCAAACAATAAAGCAGAAAATACTAAAATCAAGAAACTACCAAGGAGAACCCTCCCAACATTGGCAGGGCAAGTTATTACATATAAAGAGGGAGCAAACCCTCATGATGTTACCTAATTGGCTAACGAAATGTCTTCAAGCAAACGGCTAAGCTCAGAAAGTACCAAGGACTCCACATATATTTACGCACACACACACACACACACACACAGTATTAATTATATAAGTCAATGTTTAAACCAAAAGAGCCAACACCAGGGTGATTTCATATTTGATAGATGGAAAAGCTGTCTCAATTATCAAGGTCATGGTTGTGCCAAAGGTGCTTTTCAAAAGGCAACTGGACTTTCTTGTTTTTCCCCCCCCAAACCCTTTGTTTATCTTTGTTTTATTTATTACAGATATTTATATATAATCTAACTCAAAACTGACACATGTTAAATTTATTTTATAAATATATTTGTACTTCTTTGTTGGCAACAAAAACCAGCAGGATAATTTACCCTGGGGAATGAATATTACTTGCTTTGCCTATTATTCCCTGTCCACCCATCCACTTCCTACTCATCTGTAGTAGCAGGGGTGACAAGAAAACAACATATTCCAGCAGAGCATAAGAAAGCTTACTGCTTTAAAATAAAAGCCAAACCACTTTTCCAGAATTTAAGTACCTAGCGTATAAGTAAGAACAATTAAACAATTAAAAACAGTTTTAGCTATTTTTAAACATAACTTTATTTACCTGGCAGATCTCTTTCTTCACAAGTCACTGGTATATTGGTGAATAATGTAGGCTTGGTCAATCTCATTACTGTGAATGTAAAAAGCAAATTCAATTTAATATAGACTATAAATATTATAGGAACCTTAATCTTCAAAAAATATAATACTTATCAGTCATTGCCCTTGGCATTTTATAGAGTAGGGCTAGAGTTAGAAAAGTATGTATAGATACTGTGTTTACTTAATGATGGCCATTTCCCTGCTAAATAATTTCTAAAATGAACTTTTATACAAACTTTTGTTTGTATAAAACAAAATCCAAGAATATATATGGAAAAAAGCATATATAAAAATAATTTGTGGCTGTTTTCTAACTGTTCCATTTTTTCATATAAAAATCTATCTGTAATGATTCTATTTTTCTGAATAGTATTCAAAGCCAGTCAATAACGAATGAATATATTAACAAATATAAAAGGCAGCATAATTTCTTAAACATTAAGACAACAAAATTGTCTTTATTGTTAACACCATTTTATCAATTAGAACCCTGGTGGCGCAGTGGTTAGAATGCAGTATTGCAGGCTAATTCTGCTGACTGCCGATTGCCGGCAGTTCGGCAGTTTGAGTCTCACCTGCTCAAGGTTGACTCAGCTTTCCATCCTTCCGAGGTTTATAAAATGAGGACCCAGATTGTTGGGGGGCAATATGCTGATTCTGTAAACTGCTTAGAGTGGGCTGTAAAACACTATGGAGCAGTATATAAGTCTAAGTGCTATTGCTATTGTTACTTCTTTGTTCCCAGATTACAATTATGTAAATGGGGAAAGTGGGGTGTAATTGAAGCTCTAAGAAAGTCTAATATTTCTTCGCTTTCTTCATTGAAGTTGGTGATGACTAACACAAGGAGTTATCATGAGTTAGTTCTGATTCATGGTTGCATCAATATATATATCTGATTCATTTGTCTTTCAATATCTGTCATCACAATGAGATTTGGAAGATTTTATTTTTCTACAAATTCTATCCTTTGTAAATTAGAATGCCTTTAAACATAGATGTATTTTTAACAGAGATCATCCAAGGAGCAGCAGTACACATTTCTATAATCAAAACACAGAAAGAATAACATTTTGACAGGTTTCAGTTTCTGCTTAATATTGGTACCAAGTTCAAGAAGGAAGAAAACTGAATACAGTACAAGCATACAGGTAGTCCTCAATTTACGACCATAATTGAACCCAAAATTTATGTTGCCAAGTGAGAAATTTGTTAAGTGAGTTTTGCCCCATTTTATGGTTTTTCTTGCCACAGTTGGTAAGTGAATCATTGCAGTTAATTTAATAACCCGGTTGTTAAGTGAGGCTGGCTTCCCCATTGACTTTGCTTGTTAGAAGGTCTCAAAAGAGGATCACATGACCCGGGGCACTGCAGCCATCATAAATATGAGTCAGTTGCCAAGCATCTGAATTTTGATCACATGATCATGGAGATGCTGCAATGGTTGTAAGTGTGAAAAATGGTCATAAGCTACCTTTGTCAGTGCTATTGTAACTTTAAACAGTCACTAAATAAATTGTTGTAAATCAAGGACTACCTGTATAGAACTGCAGCAATCATTTGTGTAATTGATTAGGTAAACATAAGACAAACCATCCAAACGCCAAGTTTTTTTTAAATCCAACAATGCTAAATCAATCCTCCAAATGAGTGATTCAGAAGTTCTCCCTCTATAGTTTAAATTGGGGTGAAAATTTCCAGCAGCTCCTGGCACTTTTTGGCAATGGCTCTAAATTGTGAAGAAGATAATTAAGTCCTATTATTAATTGTATGGATAATATAACAGTTATATCATAATTGCAAGAGAATGAATGGCCAAGTGGGAAGAACTCATGACAGGTAGTCCTCGACTTATAACCACAACTAGGACCAAAATTTATGTTACTAGGTAAGACAGTGGTTAAGAGCAGGGCTTTTCAACCTTTTCACCCATTGTACCACTTTTAGGATATGGCAACATCCGAGTACCACCAGTCGCCTAGCAAGATGTGAAAAACTTGATGACCCCCCCCCAAAAA